GCTCAGTATGGCCCTGGCAGCCCAGAGGGCAAACCCCATCCTGGGGGGCATCAAACACAACAAAACCAGCCGGCCAAAAGAGGGGATTATCCCACTGTATTCAGCACTGGTGCGGCCTCACCTGCAGTGCTGCGTGCAGTGCTGGTAACAAGGACGGGAAGGTCCTTGAATGTGTCCAGAGGAGAGAACAAAGCTGCCTAGAGAGGTGGTCAATGCCTCGAGCATGTCAGTGTTTAAGAGGGCATTGTTGGGACAATGCCCTTAAGACCATGCTTTAACTTTTGGTCAGCCCTGAAGTAGTTAGGCACTTGGGCTAGATGATCGTTGTAGGTCCTTTCACACCGAAATAGTCTATTCTATTCTAGTTTAGAGCTCCAGTCTCGAGATAAATTACTGATTAAGCTTTGGAGACTATATAGTTTCTGTTATTATTAAATTTCACAGGTGGAATGCAGTCTTTAACATTTAAGTCCTATGTTGCAAATTATGCAATCCAAATTGTTTCTTTTCACATGACATGTCCAAATCCTGGAAAGACCTGTCACTAGCATGAAACAAAATTAAATGGGTTTAAAATACTTCTCCTGTAAAGTCAGCCATGCTGTGTCTCTGAAAATGCAATTATGCAGCCATTTATAGTATTGTTTATCTAGATTTTACTTGACCGCACCATTTCAATTTGCAGCAATTCAAGCATCAGGGATGCACTGAATCCACATTTGGCATATTTTTTAGGCACTTGCTTAGATGGGACAAAATTAGACAATCCTCCTAATTTATAATATCTTAATTTGGTTTTCACTATCTACAAACTATTCAATCTAATTAAGAAGCTGTACTAATACCTAAATACATACAAAACAGCAACAAACTTTTAAAAGTACCTATTCTACCATTTAATAAATATTTCTACTATGGAAGTAAGACCTTTCTGTCTACAAGCCGGAAAAAATATATACTTGGCTTAACTTGCATGTATTTTTACAATTGAACTGCTCCACAAAGCACATTGTAGTATTTGGTTTTTTCCTTCTGCCACAGTCTTATTAGAAATTGTGAATCTTCCTATTAAAATCATTTTTTCATGTAACTGTGTGTTAAACAAGTCGGTCCCTCTTGGGAAAAAAGCCCCATGTCATTTAAAGTAATTGATACTTGGAGTCTTTTGTTTAACATCGACCACACTACAGATACATTAGTGGGGCAATTCAGTCTTCCCACTCACTGTCATTCTGGAGTAATGAGATTGCATATTTGAAACATCAGTTCAAAAATCATCCATGATCTTGCTACTGACAGCTGCAGTAACTTTATTAATTAATACAATTGCCACAGTGACATTTTGCGGTTTGATTCTAACCACAAAGATCAAGACTGAAGCCACAAAATAACTTCTAACAGTCTCTGACATTTGTCAAACGCTTAACATAAAACTTGCAATTTCCAGTTGAAATACGCTGTCTTCCCAGCAAATTCAGTTACATTTTAGTTTTTTTCATCAGAATTATTCTACTCTGAAGATACTAAGTAAAGTTAGATTTTGTCCAAGAATTTTTGTAAAAACATATTTAAGAAACAACTTTTATGAAATATTCAGTCATTTGAAATTCCAAAACTAAAATAATACAGACAAAATACATTAATTATCTAGAGCTGAAACAAATAAAATTTATGCTTCCAGTTCTCACCTAATGTTGTCCTGAGTACTTAAGATTTAAAAGGTTGATATTTAAAGCAAATTTGGGCACTATATTAAAACACAAAAGCCAAAAAAGCCTCTCAGAAAACTCTGACAAAGATAGACCTCAGTACTCACCCATCATTAGAACATGTCAAAAATTCTTCCTTTATTTTTGGATGCCAACAGCCTGAATTGAGCATTGCTGTGTGACCCTAAGGAAATAAACACAAAGAGATCTTACAAGGTTTTGTAAGATGTCATACAAAGTTTTATACATTTTACTCCAAATCACATGAAAGTTGAGGGCTGAATCAGACCCTTTTGACTGCACAAATGGCTGACTGAAATCACAATGATTAAACAGATTTTATACACTTTAATCCATTTCATCCTTGCTTATTTTCATTTTGAATTATAAAAACCCTGCCATTCTTCTATTTATATTTTTTCTTTCAGAAAATGGCACGGAGTCATACTCCCTCTTTTTCTCTTGGGAGAACCATAATGCACAGAAAGGATCAAACAATAGGCATCAATATGATGTCACTGAAATTGTTCCAAGCCACACAAAAATAACAGGAATAACAAGAAATACCAGGGTGACAGAATATTCATACTCAATGTCAAACTATACTAGCCAAAGACCTTGTCGGAGAAAACTGAGGAAACAGAATTCGAGAGTCAAGATGGATTTAACCTCAGGTGAGCTTTTCATAAAAGACGAGAAGTTGCAAATTGAGTAGTCAGCGCCGTTTCTTTAGGATCGAAAAAACAGAACGTTAAGGATTTTATCCCAAGTAAGTGATTGTCATTATGGTGACTATAAACACAAAATGTCTTTGTCCAGTTGGCTTTACTTCTTTGAAGTACAGGCACATGCTCATTGACTGCATTCAAAGAGAAATTTGGAAACTACTCCTGCAACGCTGGAATTATTTCAGTTTGCTTTAAGCACAAATATGGAGAGAAATACTTAAAAGTTAATGGGGTGATATAACAAATATTTTAGCATTTTGACTGTTGGACCACAATACACTGGAATTCTACAAGTTTACAAGAGAAAGAAAATCTGAATTATTTTTAAGTAAACAAGAACTAAAGCAGATGTTACTATTTCATGGTTTTATATACATATCACTAGCCAAAAAAAATAGTCATCTGACAAGAACAGCTTTAGGCAAAACACCATTTAGCCTAGGTTTTTGGCAATATACTTTACAAGCAAAAGATAAATCAACTTTATTATCAGTTTGAGCAATAGATTTTATCATTATTTTTTAGGTTTAAGCTCTTTAAAAAACTGACCTGAATTTAAATCATCTGTGTAAACAGAATCCTTGTCTCATATAGTTTGTGGAAATATGAAGGCAAAGGCAAAACAATCAACTGTTGTTAAAATAATTCAAAACTATGTATCAGTGCTTCTCCATTTGTATTTTTACCTACCATTTAAAAAGTACACATTATTGCTTATTAGTCTTACACTCATGGCATGCAAGTAACAATAATAACAACCTCCAACCCCTTCCCTGAAAGAGGTAAATTTTATCAGCAAAAGAATGGAGGGTAGAAGAAAGCAAGAGACAAGACCAGATCAATAGTTTCTAATTTTTTTTTTTTTTTTTTTTTTTGGTTGGACAAGGGTATGGGCAAAGCTAACAATTTTTACAAGATACACTTTTAAATAGATGAATTTGTTGTAGCATCATAATTTGTTGTAGCATCATAGAAACATTAGTTGGAACAGAGCTCGAGTTCACCTAGGTTAACCTCCAACTCCAAACCAGATAACTGCCGACACCAGATCAGGTCAGCCACGGCTTTGTCCAGCTGGGTCCTGAAAACCTCCATGGATGAAAGTCCCATGTCTTTCAGCATGTGTCAATACATGGGACACTTGCATCCCAGAGACAGGACTTTGCATTGTTCCTTACTGAACTTCATGAGTTTTATCGTTAAGAGCAAAAAATACACTATATTGTCAGTCTTCTGGCATTCAATTAATTTCTGAGTTTACCTTTGTGTTCGTCATATCCACAATGTATTGGTCTCCTTTTATGCATTCCATTACTGGGAAGCCATCTCTGTCAAGAACTTTTGCCTGAGAGTTACCAGAGACAACAAGAATGACATCTCCTGTGCTGCTATACTGCAAAGATTTGATTTGGTGACTAAAAAGAAAAAGAAAGAAAATGTTTCAATAAACTTCATTTCCTAAAACACCAAACCAAAAGAGTCAATGGTGAGAAAACATGTTGCAGAAATGACCCATATACATTTCTATACCAAAAAGGTGGGGAAAAAAATACTAATCTGAGATTAATGGATTAAAGCTTTTTATTTTATTTTTTTATTCCTCTGTGTGTGTGTGCATGTCACATTTCCTTCTGCAAACACACAGCACATATATTTACATATATTTACAAAGTTGGCACCTAAAATGTCACTTCTGGCAAACATATTTAACTTTAAGAATGCTCTTGTAACTCCAAGTTAAAAACAGTATGTGTCAGATCCAGCTCTTCAGGTCTGAACATTCTTTTTCATCTTCTCAAAAGCAATATGTGGATTTACAGTAATCTATAAATTACTATAAAAGGCTGTTGTAGTCCTACATAAAACCCCACTGTATATTGTACACCAGGAAATTAGTCATATGCATTCTTGCATCTTTTCCTATGTTCAGCGCTTCGGTTTCACCAGAATCTTAGATAAAGTTAAACATACCATCAACCTTGGAAACATGACAGTAGATAACAACCTGCCTAGTCTACTTTGTCTTAGATGATTGCTCATTTGGTGTAAAGGTTTTCTTAGATAAGCCTTTTATTGCCTGAGAAAACCTGGGACAGAAATCATGGAATAATAGCAAGATGACAAAAATTATTAACTGAAAATGGGGAGCTGGCTGATGAGTGAGCAGTCCTTCTCCAGCTTCAGCATCTTCTCTCAGCATTCTGCTTTATGAACAAAGTTCACTGCAGTTGCTGTATCCAAAGCAGATATCCTTTTGACACCCTATCCAGCTATATTCTATTACAAGGATGGCAAAAAATGCAAAGCAGTCTACCCACTCCACATCTGCTAGAATTTTGGCAGATTAACAGAACCTGCACAATAACATTACTTTATATTAATGCTTCAGCTCTGCAGCTAAATTAACCCCAAATTAAGGACTGGAATTCATTTGCCAGCTAGATTTGGATTCTCATGGCATCCAAACTGTCCTCAAAGGAGTATCTTCCTTTCGGTGAAGAACATAACCATGTGCATTCAAATCCCAGTACCTTTAAGGAAACTACTTTTTAACACAATTTTGCATCAGTAAAATTAACACTCAGATGATCCAAAAAACTGACTATGCAACTTCTAACAATAATTTACTGTTTCACATCTTGTATGGTAGTGACTTCATGACTGACTCAGCAGTAGCTACCATCTGTTAAATCTGTCCTCAAACTGTGAGTTACTACACAAAACACATAAAACATTGTAATATGTATTTTAAAAGTCCTGCATCGATCATAGTAATGTAAATTAAGCATAAGTTTCTCAGGCAAAAAATGTTTGGCGAAACTGATTACATTATGATTCAAACGCCAAAAATTGCTTCAAGCACCCTATTATGTAATACAATCTGGCAGCCAAATTGGCAAAAGTATTATAAACTCTGATTTTTAGTAGAAAGGACACTCTAAAATCTGGGAATTTCTGAAACAGATCACAGGCAATGTCTGAAAAAGCATCCTGGGACTCAAAAGCAAAAACGGATACTTGCTCAGAAGAGGGGGAAGAAGGCCAGCCACGTTAAGCTCAGAGGCAACACGGAAAAAATTAAAAGGAAACCACAAGAGAAGCAATAACTAAAGTCTAGAATATTCTCTGCTGAGAGCTGATAAACCTAGACTAAAGAATCCATCAGATTCAGCTTCAGAGCAACAAGCATATCTCAGGAATTACAAAATCCTCCCCAAGTTTTACTTCCAAGTGCTCTTGCTATATCACGATTCATACAAAGCTCAAAACATTCCCGAGCCCCACCTGAGTACTGCATACAGAATGAAGTACTTACCTAGTTATATTTCTCACGCTCCAATGCTGAATTTGTCAAAATAATATACCCAACACATCTCCAAAGCACAGATTCATGCTTTGCACTTTTCATTTTTGAAATGTAAGAACCAAAAATAAACATTTAAAAACTACACTAAAAGATTATTTATGCTTGATGCATGCCTCATGTATGAAGAGGATTTGGCCACTAGATATGATCAAACAGCTTGCCCAGAAGTAAAATCTGATTTCTGAGAGAATCCATGATATGTAAAGGTCCACAGAGTCTTCTGAGAAAACTGTTTTTCAGTCACTGACGTACTGAAATTAAAACTACAGACATTAACACTGTCAACATGGTTCCTAATTTGACCAATATGGTCTCAATGCTTCTTTCTAATTCTATATCAGCGTGTTTGAACAAATTTTGTTTTCATGTGAGATTTAGATTTAAAATTTCTTTTAACAAGGAAGAGCATCTGATTTTACAGTGCCCAGCACAATGGGAACATAACTAATAATTCATCAAATCGGTCATGTGAAAAATTAGTCTGAGAGGAAAGATTTCAAAACCTTTATCTAAAGGGAAAAAAACCCAACACCTTTGTGACTGTGCAATACAACTTTTAATCATGTCCAAAAATTGGTTCTATAAGCAGGGTACTTGCAAAGCCCCAGAAGTTACCACTTTTCAGATATTTATTAGAGTATGACCAAGAGTGAGGTTCTGCAGAGGCAGTTCTTAAAGAAAACATTTTTGGGTCTTCTAATGTTAAAGCAAAAGTATTGGAAAATTTACAAAAACAGTTCCCTTTAATAGCATTAATCCAAGTCATTTTGGTTTAAAGCTGCCAAAATTGCATCGTACTTTCTGCCAGGACCTGCAGAACAGAGTTACATGCATGGGTAGAATCATGACACACAAATGATTTCTTCACAGATAACACAGCTTTGCCTTACTCTTGCCTTCGCCTTTAACATCGTGGTGTGGTTTGAAGGTACTAGGTTTTTGTCACACTCTTTTTTTTACCCTTACATCCCAAATCCAAGGAGAAATTAATAGACTAACCCAATACTGTGGGAGTAAAGATTGTCAGCTATTTCTTATTGCTCAGTTATAACAGAGGAGAGGAAAATACCATTTCTATCCTGCTAACTAATTATGTAAAGGAAACTCATATCAGAAAAGTCTGAATACAACTTCATGTTTGGATAATTTGTTTTATTTATTTATTTCAAAGCAGCATGTTTACTATGTTTTCAAAGTAAATGTGCCATCCACTGGTTTGTTATAACAAGGTATGTCTGTCAAAGAGATTAGAATTGCATAATGAATCAAAGCACACTTTTTATTTTCCTGATTTTTCACAGTTTAGAACATCAGTAGAATCCCTTTCTATTTTTCTCCTTTCCAGGCTAACAGCCCCAATTTTTTCTAGTCTTTCATTATCTATTTTCTTGGCACATCTATGATTAGTCATACACATTCTAACCTTCCAAACTGACCAAAATTCAGCTGTAGCTTTTTAAGACAATAATGATTAAAAACAGACATTCTAAGGGCTACTTACTGCACATAATAAATTTCAATCCCTTTCTTAAGCATACCAAAGTATCTTATAAAGTGCACCACTTTAGACATTAGAAAGTACCTTGCTAGAAAAACTGTATTATTAATTTATCAATATGTTTATCTGAAAGTTTGCTTTTGAAGGAGTTCTGAATTTCAATTCTCTGGAATAAATAAATGAACTTGCTTCACTTACTTGCTGAATTACCAGTCAACACTATGCATAGTATGGAAATCACTCTCTAATAAATGCTTCCTGCATTTTTTTTTTAACTTTACATATATATATCTCTCTCTCTCAATAAATGTAAATAAATATATAGCTTTTTTCCTTTAAGACAATAGACATTTTTTTTAATGCATACTATTTAGCTATTCAATTATCAGTGCAATGAAAAAGATCATTGATTCCAGAAACAGAGGATTTAATGAAAACTAGATACGTCCGTGTGTGTCCCCTCAGAAATACTGGCAGTAACTACTGAGGGTCTCCATAAAGGGATCAACTGTTTTAACTTTTTTCTCTTCTTCATTAATTTTATATAAGTAGAATACATATGGACACTGTATTCTGCTAATTTCAATTACAACTATGAAAGTCAACCTGTCTCTTTGAGAGGTTCATCATCTTTTTGCTGATATGCCATTAACAATTCCATCTGCAAATTCACCTGTAGCTTTCTAAAAGGGGAAAATACACAAGTCATTGGAAAAGACATAATCAGACAAGTTCTCAGGTTCACATTCCACAAAATGTACAAGCGGTTACAAAAGTCTTTTAAACAAGCTATCTTACAAGGCTTCTATCCATTCTATTCAGAGCTTAACACAGCCACAGTCTTAAGTAAAAAAGGCAGATGCCTACCATTCACAAGGCTGGAGTGAGCGAAAAGCTTGGAGAGAGGCATCCATTCCAGCAAAATCCCAAAACTTAACATCATAGTCATATCCACCAGTTATCAAACGTGCACCTGAAGGATCCAACCCCAAAGCAGAAACCTATACAGGAAAAAAATATTTTAAAAAAATAAGATCATTCAAGCTTTTTGTTATTTTTTTCCTATAGTTCTTCAGGTGTCACCAAAATATAAAATACTACTAAAATAAAAAAAAAAAAAATTCACTGTGCCAGTTTCTTCCTCCAATAAATCAGCTATATTTTGGGTTTGAATTTTCACTGCCTTGTATAATGTCTGATTACTTTGGAAGGGGTAGGGAGAATGGAAATTATATAATCTGAATAAACCACCGTAGACAGCTGAGAAAAGTTACATTTATAGTTATAATTTCATTGCAGAATTTCATAGAATGGTTTGGGTTGGAAGGGACCTCAAAGATTGTCTCGTTCCAATCCCCCTGCCATGGGGGGACAACCTCCACTACACCACGTTGCCCAAAGCCCCATCCAACTTGGCCTTG